AGAAGAAGAAGAAGAAGAAGAAGAAGAAGAGGAAGAAGAAGAAGAACAACAACAACAACAATAACAACAACAACAGCTATGAGAGCTTTGTCGTCACCATCAGGCTACTCACCTCGCTCCACACGAGCATGGTGCCGAAGACGACCTGCAGCCCGTCGAAGAAGTTATCCCCAATGAGTATGACGGTGGTTCCCCCTGTGGTCCATCCCTCACTGGGGCAGATGGCCTTGATGCACGGCGTGGCTGAGAGAATACCAACACAGGCCACAAGGACAGTTGTGGATGTCACGTCATAGAGAATTGGGGGAAGGAGTGGGGTGGGGTGGGGTGGGGTGGGAAGGCGCGGTATAAGCAGCTACATAAATATTAACTGTGGGGATCGCGTCAAAGAAAGGTTGATATTACAGTAGCGTCATAGGCTATTGAGATGAATCGTGATTGAGAGAGAGAGAGAGAGAGAGAGAGAGAGAGAGAGAGAGATGTGCGGGGTCATGTCCTAGACAAATGTCGAAGTCACGTAACAGACAATAAAATTGTGGAGGTCATTTATAGACAATTGTGGGCGTGATGGCTGATAGCTCGAGTCACGTCATAAACAGTAACAGTTGTGGCGGCCAACGTAAAAAAATGATCAATTATTGATCTCTCGTCGATGATCATTCATTGAGTTCCAGATCTGCAACACACATTGGCGTTCACGGCTCGCTATTCCTTTCTTTGCATGGAAGTGCTTGAATAAATCTGGTCTTTTCCCGTTAATCACTTATTTAAGCTTTCCAAGTACAAATAAGTTGCTGTAGGTCTACGTCTGCCTCGTTTGCCTTAAATTTTACCTGTGAGAGAAAGATGCTCAATACCTAATTGTTTTCTTTAGCTAGCGACCCGTGTGAGCTTCCTTAAGTACTACCTCATTTTATAAGGATAATTATGATAAGTGCTAATTGAAACACAATCACGGTAGCCAAGTCGTATCATTGATGCACGGTTAACTAAGCTTGGCACACAGCAGTGCGATAATATGGGCTCCATCATATGCGATTATTATTATCCAAGTTATTTTGAGATTATTAGAAATATTCTAGCATGTCTTATTGGAGGCGGACGTTGTTTTGATTCAAGCAGAACTTTCTATGAAAACAAGTTATGTTGACAAGGGGAAGGGGGGGGGGGGGCATGAATCAATAAATTTAAAAAACCAGCAAAAGCATAAACGACAGATGTGGTAACAACATAAAAAATGGAAATGAACTTCGTTTCCAAAGCTTTTATGAAAGACGAGTAGAAACACAGCAAGGAAATTATCGCTAATGCTTAGAAATGTCGTACTTAAAAGACATCTGTGAAGAATAACGCCTTGTATCAAGAAGAAAACAGACGTAATGTATGCAGAAAAGCTGGATATGTGAAATTAAGCCGGGGGTCGAAGCGTATCAAAGGCAGGAAACGTGATTTGCCGCACACCTGCTACTGTGTGAACGTACCTAAACGTGTGTCTTCGCTTGTGTCTTTTAAAGACATTTTCCATTTATTTCAAGAACCGAGTTTTATACGGTCATAATTTCGGCACACCTACGCTGAAAAAGTGTTCACATCACCCTATACCCTTTCAATACCATTCTTTTATATGTTGTTCCATCTTATCTCCTCCCTCGTTCCCCCACTCCCGTACCGGGGTGAAAGGTTAACTTAGATGCCATGCGCGAGGCGACAAGGCTGTGTCACATCTGCTGCTCACTGGGGCAGACGGGGTGGGCGGGGCTTTCAATTAAAAGCTAGAAATAGAAGAAGACGGAGAGAGTGCAAGATGTGCAGAGAGTGAGTGATTTTGCAGACGTGAAGCAGGGCGAACTTCACAGAGTGGAGCACGTAAAGCTAGCTGTGTGGGTGATGTTTTAGTGAGCAGAGTAATATACTGCGAAACTGCTCTTTCCTCAAAAATAATACTCTCGGGCCTTGTTTTATGAGGGCCACCCAGGGAAAAGATTTAGCTTGCAGGGGGTAAACACGCTTACAAGAGTAATAAAAAAGATATCTCACATTTACAATTATTGAGATGTTTTGATCTTTGTTTCGCTTAAGATATGAGAAGCTTTAAGAAACACATTTATTACCCCTTTAATCTGTGATACTTTATTAGAATGTCTTCCCGAATATCGATACTCTTGGCTTGTAATACTTGTATGGAAATATCGTTAGAGGTTGTGCAATTGGGAAATAAATATCGTAGATTTCCTCGATACATAGCTTACTTTCCTGATTCAGATTTTAACTACACGTATTAAATTTATTCCTGAATAAATACTTTCCTGGACCCGCCAGGAAAAGACATTTTGAAAAAACTCTTATAAAAAGCTGCTCCAGAATGCCTAAACTCAGGAACAAAAACAAACCATCGCTTTATCATTAATTTTTTTTCTCTTAGAACACAATCTTTAAAGACCCTGGGATCCACTTTAAAAATAAAAACGAAAAGGAGGTAAAAGCCAGAATAAACCAAAACATTAATCCCTGCACTTTTACTCACACACACTCTCTTTCTTTCTCTC